TAGCCCAGGCTGGCCTCGAACTCACAGAGATCCGCCTGGCTCTGCCTCCCGAGTGCTGGGATTAAAGGCGTGCGCCACCACCGCCCGGCCAACATAATTCTTTATTCTATATTCTGTGCTGCACCTCTCCTCTAAAGAGATACTGAAACCAATATCCAAGACTTGTAAGTAATATGACTGTTTGTTTGTTTGTTTGCTTGTTTGTTTGTTTGTTTGTTTGGAACAGTGCTGGAAATTGGACCCAAAGCCTTGCACATTCAGGGCAAATTCTTTACCATTAAGACCCATTACCAGATGTAGAAATATTTGAATGGAAACATAATATTTTCAGACTCAATATGAATCACTCTGGGTTGGAGGGTCCTGGGTCCAAAGACGGTTGGCCTCACAGAAAGGCTATGTGAAGACACTGGCACAGAGCCACACAGCACCACCAGGTGATGACACAGCTACAGCTGGAGGCCAAAGAGTGTCAAGGACTGCCTGCCCCCACCACGAAGGGTCTTTCACCTGCAGCATCTTCAACGACAGCAGGTTCTGCTGACTCTGAGTTTCACTGCTTGCCTGGGACCTGTTAAGGCAATATATCTGTGGCATTCCAACTCACCTAAATCACAGTCATTTATGATGGCAGTGCTAGGTCACTAATGCACCTATCACCATGCAAGGTTTATATTTGTGTGTTTTAATGACAATACCCAGCATTAGACTGACAACAGAAGCCTGGACAGTCACATACGGCTTTTCCAACATTGGTTTTATTACAAAGACACTTTTCTTTCTTTTTGTCCTGTTTCTTCCACATGTTCAATAACAAGCAAGTAGAAGTGTATTCTTTGTTTTTTTTAATTCCCAAATATAATGAGAGACAACTGAAATGAAGCCATTTTTATTTACTTTTATGTGTGTGTTTGTTTTTGCTAAGCAGAATATATAAGTAAATTATTATGATGAAATATTAATCAGTATCTTTCTTGATAGAAGCATTATTAACAGGAAGGATATATACATTTTATATAATATATATATATAAATTTTTATTTAGCTATAGAGAAAATAAAATTAGGAAATAAATAAATAAAAAATAAAGTTAGGAAAATGATCCTAACTTGGAATCATTATATGAAATAAAATAACAGACTCAGAAAGAGAAATACCCCATGTTTTTTTCTCATATGCAGATCCTAGATTTTACTTTGTGAATGTGTATGTATCCGTGTGTGTACATCTGTACGTGTGCATATGTGCATGCTGCAGTTAGAAACAGCAGGAAAGAAGAAGAAATGAGAGTCAAAAAAAAAAGGAAATGGAACACATGTGAGATGAGGGCAGCAGGGGCTTTGGGAGAAGCAAGGGGACAGAGAGGGACACAAGAGATAAGGAAGAAGAGTGGGAAGGGGGACAAATCAGAAGAAAATATGCATGAATGCTATAATGAGATGATCCATTATTCATATGCTAGTTTAAACAATGAACAAAACAATGACAAGAGAGAAGCAGCTTTTCTTCAAATTGTGAGTCTGCATACCTTTTGAAATAGGAATAGCTTTGGTTTAGAAACTATGATTGCCACTAATATTTAACATTTCATATAAGCTCTAGTCAATGTACAGCAGAGTGAAGTAAAATACTTGTTACACATGTGTAAAGGGTTAAAATCTATGACAAATATTTATTTAAAAAAGTGTATCTTTATAAAAATATGACTCCTTTATTTTATGTGTCTGGTGTCTGTCTGCATGTATCTCTGTGCACCACATGGGTGCAGTGTCTGTGGATGCATCCAACCATCTGAAACTGGAGCTACAGAGTTGTGAGCTGTGGTAGAGCTGCTGGTAACTTACACAGCTCCTCTGCATGAGCAACAAGTGCTCTTAAGCATTGAGCCATCCCTCCAGTCCCCAAAGCATGTAACTTTTAACAATAAACATAAAAAAATCAGAAATTATATTCTAAAGAAAAGAGATTCTCTAAACGTGGAAAGCTGATTTTAAATGTAGCCATAAAAAAAAATGTAGCCATCAAAGGAAAGGACTCAGGCAGGACAATTCTGCTCAACAAGGAAGAAAGAAAGAAAGACCTTAGTACCAAGAGTAACAGTAATGGTGTTAGCTAAGCCAGAGAAACTAGCTAGCCATAAACAATGGAGACCTTCATGGAAGAGAAGTTACATACACAACAGCCAAGACAGATCAAGTAAGAGGAAGAATGAGTCAAAAGTGAGAATGGAAAAAAAAGGCAGTCATCCACTGTGGAGGCCCAAATTACTCAGGGAAAGTACTAGGGGCCACACTTTGTTTCTAACATGCACCTTATAGGTATGGCTCCACTGTTTTCTGGCATTGAACACTGAGTTTTTAAAGTCTAAAGGCAACTTGATACTCTTTTCCTTATAAGCAAATCAGTTTTTCACTGTTTGCTTTGGAGGGTGGGGCAGTAGTGCTTTACAGCCTGCTACCCCAAGAATTCAAAGGGTTCGGAGGGCTCTGGGAACTCTGTCCACCACACTTAGTGAACTGCAGCAGATTCTGAGACTGCTTCTTCTCTCCAGATAATCACCCAGTGTTCCCTGAGGAGTCAGATGAACCTGTGCTCTGTAAGCTTAGCCTCTCACTTTAGAAAGTTGCATCAGGGACATTTCAACCACATGCAAATGCAGAAGCATTATGATCAACATCCTTGTGCCTTCACTCTTGCCTCTTCTTACAGACCTCACAACTCCCATATTGCAGACCTGCAGAGCTGCCTGATGTCTCCCCAGGTTGTGTGCAACAATTCAGCCATGCTTCCCAGAGTCCTGTGCTTTCTTGAACCTGTCAGATCAATTTCAACTTCTCAATCGCCTTTCCAACGCTGTTATGATTTCAATCTGAACTGTTTCCCACAGCTTCATTCATGTTTTGAAAGCATGGTCTCCAGGTAGCTGTGCCTCTTCAGAAGCCTGTGAAGCCATTAGGAGGTGGGACACTCTCCAGCTAGGGGAGAGCCTTTGAAGGTTAGGTTCTGTAGACTGAGTTTGTCAATTTCTTTCTGCACACAGTTTCTGTAAGGTATTTTGTCACAATGGCATAAATGTAACTAATACAAACTCAGAAAGTTCTATTAACCTCTTGTGGTTTTTGTCCATCTTCATTTCTGACTTTTTCATCTGTTTTGTCATTTTTACAAGGAATTGTGGCCAAAATCCCATCCTCAAGCAAGTATTAATTAGTGTCTTACTGAGTCTTTATTTTTCACTTATATAACTTTATAATTCTTATATGTTGCATTTTCAAAGAATCTAAATATTAAAAGCTTATTATGTAACTTCATTTATATATTAATTTAATACTGCCAATACTATTATTTTTGTATCACAGAAATGAGAAAACTTAACATTTAAAGAGTTAAGAAGATACCCAGACTGTTAGGGATTTGTGATTTCTCCAAGTGACATGTGGATATACGTGCCTCAGTCATGACGCTCTACTAAGATAATATGCTAGAGTAGTAACACTTCTAATTTCCTTTACACCAACTTTAAATATCATCAAAAAATACTCGTGTCTTCAGTTGAAAAAGAAATTTTTAAAAAGAAAAAAATAATTCTCTCTAAACTAAAAGTTAATGATAATAAGAAACAACAACAACAACAACAAAAAACAAGATCTGCAACCACTCCTAAGAGATTATGATATGACACTGAGCAATCCAGAGTCTGACCTCTTAGTGAACTTCTGGTGCTGTCCACTGTCACTGTAGCAAGTAAGAAAGGAATGCTTTTTCTTTAAATTTAGTAACAATTTCTGTACAATCCTTACCAGTGAAAAATGAGGAAATGGAACGTAAGATAGATGTGAACAGTGAAACAGAGAAAAGAAAAATACTTACTGTGGACTGTGTCTGCACCATGTATTCACCCTCCATCTTATTCAGACGCACATTTGTATCCTCCAGCAATTCCTGAATAGTCTCAGTATGTTGCTTTTGAAGCTCAAATTTTTCCTTTTCCATTTCTGCTACAGCATTGTGGAGCTGCACAATGAAGTCAAGAGTCTCTCACGCCCATGGAATATGTTATTTTGAAATTCAAAAAATATTTTCCAATACTCCTATTTATATCCACAAAGTGATCTGAACAAGAATCTAAAACCACAAGTAACAATATCATACAAAGAGCATACAATGTTTTCCTCTGCTTTCCCTAACAGAAAATTTCAATAGATGGGCAAATACTAAAGGAATTTTCTGTCTTGAGTAGAAGGTAAGTAAATCTGATCGATAGTGTATTTCTCAATTGAACAACATTATTAGTAGTCTGCAAAATATACAAACAAAAATATTAATAATCTCACTGTTGTTCATTGTGAATAGCAACTCAAGGTCTGTATCATTTATTTCATTTGTACAATACAAATGTGAAGATGCTTCCTTGCCTATGCAAATCCCAATAAGATACTCACTTGGGATTCCATAATCAATACAAACAATAAACACCAAGATCGTGTTTATGAGTAGAATATACAGCAAGGCTGATAAGTAAGAATTTACATCACAAGCGTCATATACAAAGGTCTTAATTGATTGATATTCTTATGTTATGTTGATTAAATGGATGAAGCCTTAACAAAATCTCTGTGAACTAAGGTAAAGGAAGCAGAGCCAAAAGTGGGAGAGCGCAGACAAGGATTCAGTAGAAAATGTTAGGGCAGAAGTTGAAAGCTGTTTTTAGCCCATGGCCATTCCTTCTTTGATCTTACTGGGAATCCAGCGTATATTCCCTGGACCCAGCGCCACTGTGAGATGGGGAAGCAGGAGTTCAGAAGAGTCTAACAGATGCATTTGACTCAGCATCCAAGAACAGAGAGAAAGGCTAGAGACTAACAAAGGCAGCACAAATTCCCACCTGACCCAAAAAAAAAAAAAAAAAAATACTGAAAACAGAAGCCAAAAGCAGGCAGGAAGTACAGAACCAGGCTAGCAAGAATCCCAAGAATCTCATTCCAGTTTCGAGCTCAAGAAGAGTAAAGACCCTTGGACTTTGCAAATTTAATATAGGCAGTTTGACTACTGTAAGCACGTCTTCCAATCTGACTGTTAAATCTGTAATTTGGATGAAGTCTGTGTGCTACATCTAGTACTGAAAAGTGACCCAAGATGATCACTAAGCCCCAATCCCAACACCTCAGAGCTTCACCAGTGCATGCAAGCAGGAACTAGCCACTAAGGATTTTACTTATCAAAACAAGTCTGCACTGTAAACTTCAGTCTGGGTTATCTAATGGTGCCTGGCATTTTAAGAGAGAAATGACCCAAATCCCAAATTGAAACCATTATTTCCATAATCATTTTGCTTAACATCTACTGGCTATGACTAAAAAATGCAAAACATTAATTCAATAAAAATAAGTAAAAAAAATATGGCTTTAAAACAAAAACTATTTATAGACCACAGACTTTGAGAAGGAAATATACCTTATCTTGAATTTTTAATCACTTTCCATGCTTGCAGAGGATGCTCCGCTCAGACACACCTTCCCCAGCATACATGGCTGACTTCAGGAGCTTACCTTTTTTTCCCAATCATTATTCAGAGATTCTGTGCTTTGCTCGCACATCTTCTTCAGCTCTGTTATCTGGTTTTCTTTAGTTTCTCTGATAACTTGACAGTCACGTATAAGGATCTGAACTGTCAGAAATGATGAAAATATAGTTAAACCAGTTCTAATTCTAAACCACATTCTAAACCATCAAATTCTAAACCACATTAGAATTTGATGATATCGAAATGTAATGATACATGTAATAGATAATTTAATTTTTCACTAAGTCTTACTTTTCTAAAATCCCTCTTATTTCTTGCTTTTGGCCATTTCTATAATCATAGATGAGCTTGATTAATTAGTCTTTACTCTCTCCCTAAAACAGCATGCTAGCCTCAAGTATTTCTCCTCTACTGTGGCCTCTCTCACTTTAAAGAGTTCACTCAATGGCGCAGATCCCATGAGTGCCTGGCTAGGGACCATGCTCAACTTCTCACCTAAAGGATGTGTGCCAAAGGCTCTAACAGGAGACGCTGGCTCCTTATGATCCAGCTGCTCTCTCGATCCACCTCTTGCCTCTTCCACATCTTAAAACTGCACTATAAATAAACCAGCCTCTCTCTGCAGGCTCCCGAGGACATGTTCCTTCAGGTTTGACTGCCCAATATCATCAGCTGTCTTTAAATACTCATGGAGTGTGAGAGCAGGCTATCGTCTTTTTAAAACACTCACCAAATAGGTCCCTCCCCTTGCAATGAGAAAAATAAATCCCTCTAATTTGTACAAAATCAGGTTTCTTTCTCCAATGAATCACTTAGGACATTATATCTATTTCCTTGCAAATTTCCTCTTTTAAAAGACCATTTTCATTGAAGAGAAAGATATGTCGACTTCTTTTTTTATTCAAAGGCATAACAGTGCCATATTGACAAGTTCACAGAAGTTGTGCGCTGACTGAATAGAGGATACATTACTCTAGCAATATACTGTTGTTTCTAGGTAGTTTAAAATCATTTTCAAATTTTACGTTACTAAAATAGACTTTTAAAAACTATATAAACTATTGCCCTCTTTCCTCTAGTTCAAATGCCACAGTTTAAGTGAAATTTTCTTTAATATATTTGAATCAACTAAATTATGAAATATATTAAGCCATAATTTTACTTCAATATAACATCTTATCTATGTTTTTATTTACTTGAAAATGGAATTTTCAGAACTATTGCCCCAAAGTTTCTTAAATTCTTATACCTCAGCTATGCAATAATAAGAGAAGGAGGAAGGACCCAGGAGGACCTGACACTGGTCTTTAGCACACGCAGCATATTTTACTTCGCATCTCCAACAGTAAACTAAGACTGCATTTTAAAAGCCTTGAAATGTGTGTGGCATTGTTGTTTTGTTGTTTGTGTTGCTGCTGTTGATTCTTGTCATAGGGTACCACTATGTGGCTAAGTTACTTGAAAGCTGAAATCCCCCTGCCTCAGGTTCCAATGTGAATGCTTGGATTACAGACATGCATCAGTAGGCCTGGTAAGAAAACAGCATTTATTAAAGCCTAAATGTTTTTCAAGCTTAAGGGTATTTGAAGTGCCTAATATGAAACAGAGTAAGAATGAAAATCTATAAATAAATACAGAGTACTCTAGCTATCACTGATAACAATTAGAGAAAAAAATGAAGAACTAATTACTTTTGTCAATGCTTAAAGCAGGAAATTAGTCTAAACATGCCTGATTCACTGCTTAATTCTCACATGTAACTGCCCTGCTAAACTGTCAGAAATATTACTCTCCACTCTACACATTCAGGTTTTGGAGGAAACCCAATAACGTTGGCACCATCCTAGATCAAAGTCTCCCTTGGTCTTCCATTGTTACCACTGTCTATATCTCTTCCTTTACCAAATCTTCATTCTTCAGTTCCATTCTCACTAATCCCAAGGCTGTAACGCAAATATTCTGAGCCTGTATCAAAGCATATGCTAAGATCCACAAGTGGACACAGACACATGGAGCCACAAGTCTGTGGGCTAGAGATATATGCAGTGGTAAAACATTTGCCCAGTGTCTACACACACACAAGTCACCAACTTTAGTTCCCACCCCAGTAGGAGGAACTCCTCTCTTGAATGAACTAAATCATGTCCAACTTTACAAAATTAAAGTTATTTTCTCCAAAACATGTCCAACTTTACAAAATCAAACAAAAGTTATTTTCTCTAAAACATATTTCTCTTGTGAATACCTGAGAATTCTGATGTCTTGGTTCATAATGTAGCCAATTTAATACTTAATTCCATGTTTTCTTTATTCTTCTCAATGAAGGTGTAAATGGGAAATGCATTTTACGACTTTTCTGTTAATCCCAGTTGCCACTGCACTTCTCTCTCTCTCTCTCTCTCTCTCTCTCTCTCTCTCTCTCTCTCTCTCTCTCTCAAACACACACATTTTACCTAGTCACATGAAAGTTCATATCTCAAAAATTAAATTTTATTTTTAAATTTTAAATCATTAAAATAAATTCAAAACGTCATTAGAAGATTCACATCATACACCATCACCTTTCTTTTCAAGTTTTCTTATAGTCTCCTCAGTTTCAGTTTGTTTCTTTTTGTATAAGATTTTCAAATCTTCGATTTCATTATTCTTTCTTTCTAAAATCTGCAAACAAAGTACAGTACTTTAGTTTATAAAATTAAGTACAGGATAAGTAATTACAAGTGAGCCAAGTATTTTGCAAGTCTATCAATCTCATAAATGATTCCACCTAAATACAAAATTACTTTATATACACAAATTAGTTTATAAACACTGATAAAAATATTAACACACTAGAATAACTCAGTTCACAATGTTTTATTAAGAATTTCACATATAATCTTAAGAAGGCTATGAATAATGAATTACATGAATCCCTAAAACAGAATTTGGAAATTAAGTTGTCATAAGGTGGCAGAAAGAAGTCACTGGAAACTTGGGTAGTACACTCCACTCCACTGCACTGGAGTGCAACATCTTCCAGTCAATATAGCCTGGGGTCCTCCAACCAGTGTCTGTCCTTCTGCTCTTTCACTGCTTAAAGCCAAGGCCTCCTAGACATATGGACAATGATATATGAAAGGCTCCATTTCTATCGAACTCTGCTTTATGAATCAGTAAAAAAAATGAACTCAAAATCTCAAAAACAATAATTTTTACAGCAATTATACTTACCAGTTTTTTTCACATTTAACCATTTAATAAATGTAACCATGATTTTACACTTCACAATAATTAAAAAAAACAGAAATAATCAAAGGAAGAGAGTTAATAAACAGTAGAAAGTATTACCCAGGAGCTCAAAAGAAAACCAGAGAGAGGTGGGAATGGGTCTGGCTGCTGCTCTTAAGAGTACAGCTATAGTCCCACACAGCCTCAACCAAGAGCAAGAAAAGTTGTTCCACAATGCCAAAGGATTTTTTCTTGGTGTTTTTATTAACAATATTTTACTTTATCTTTCTCACTTCAGTCTCAACCCTATAGATGCTGGACCATATCCCCGCAAACCATGAGTCAAAATAATTTTTCCCTTCTTAAGCTGCTTTTCCTCAGGTATTTGGTATTAGTGGCATGAAATTAATTAATATAATAAACTGGCACCAAAAAGTGAGGTCACTGTTGTGATAAGCCTGACCATTGGTTCTTAGGCCTTTGAAACTGGTTTGCAGGAGGAAAGAAGAACACCTGAGAGCTGCAGGCTAAAGAAGCCCTAAAATTCCAAAAGCAGAGCTTAATAAGCTATTCTGGCTCAAGTTTGAGAAACTAGAATGCCAATAAAAATGGAGACAGTAAAGGACAGTCTGAGGTTGTATCAGGAATCATGACTCTCAGAAACTGGGCTACATGACATTCATGTTTTATTCTGGCAAAGAATTTGGCTGTATTCTGCTCATATCCTGAAAATACATGAAGTTTAACTAAAAAGTCATAGACAAAGAAAATTATGAGACAACAAAACTAACTCACTAATTCGGGATGTAGCATAGTTACTATTTACTGTCTTACTCAGGTTTATAGAGAAGGAGAACAGAAAGAAATATATAGTTTGGCAAAAAAAAAAAAAATTAAATTAAATCCAGCTAAAGTTGAGGACAGGCCAGATGGGGACAAAACATGTGTGTTTGTTGAAGAGAATAGTGCCTTTACAGAGAAACCACAGATTTAGTCCTGGGACAACAGGAAAGGAGCCATGAAGCTTAAGATTTCACACATCCAGCAGGGTTATAGAGCAATGCAAAATTACCTAAAATTTTTCATTTGAAAAGAGAGTGAGTAAACAAAGAGAGCCAGCAGGGAATCCCGCTCAAGCAGGGTTACCTAGCAAAGTGTTTTACCAGGTTCAACCTCAAAGACACAGGAGGCAGTTCAGCTACGGCTCAAGTTGGTATGAAGACATGATGTTGTCCATGTGGTCCTGGTTCTGTACCTATGAAGAATGAGGAGCTAACAGTGCTAGAGAGACCACCTGTGTTACAGGCAGCTGAGCTAGAGAAGCAAAGCTACCCAAGCCCAACAGAGCCCATATGACGCTACCATAAGCCCCACATGCCTGACATGGAGCTGGAAGGTTTGGTATTTTCCATGAGTTTCCTTGTTACTTTGGTCTGGTCTTTCCTTTCTATTCTCCCTTCCTCCTCTTTGGAATGTAAATGGTTTACCCCATGCCATGACATGCTAGGAACATAACTTTTTCATTTAAAAACAGTCACATTTAAGGGACTACCTTGAGTCTCAGACATAGCCTTTGCACTTTTGAACAGCAGTGGAACTGGAAGACTATGATCTTTTGAAGCTTAACTGAATGCATTTTGAATCATGAGAGGGCTATGAACCTACAGGGCCCAGGGTGGAATGTTTGGTTTGGATATAAAATAGCCTCCACAGGCACAGGTATTTGAACATTTTGTTCCCAGCTGGTAGGACTATTCTGAGAGATTGTGGAACATTTGGGAGATGGGGCCTCACTGGAGGAAGTGGGGCTTTGGGCATCAGGCATTGAGGTTTATAATCCAGTCTCACTTCTTGTCCTGTCTACTTCCCATTCCACAAATATGAAGCAATCAGCTGCTGCAACATCCCACTGCCATAGAGATGCATTTCCCCTAACTTTCTCCATCACAGTAGACTGTGTCCTCTAAGACTATAAGCCAAAAGAAAGCCTTCCTCTCAAATGTTTCTTGTCAAGCATTGGTCGTGATGATGAGAAAGGTAACTGAGACATACATATACCAAATTCTATCACCATGATTCTTTCAAACATCTTTCAAACTCATTTATCCTGTACATTAATGCATTATTATCTCAAATGATTCTACTTCATTTTGATATTTTATAATAAAATTTCATTACATAAATTTGTGATAAAATATCATTACATAAATTTTACAAAGGTAACTTTTTCATTACAGCAAGAATATTTATTGCTTTTATCATTTGAATGGGGAAGAGGAAAGGAAAATAAACACATTTTTTCAAATACATAAGGAATTGCTTCCTTCTTGTTGCTTAGAAAAAAGATGAAGGATGAAAAGATGGATCAGTGGGTAAAGTGCTTGTTACACAAGTATGCGGAGCTGGGTTCAGATCCCAGTACACACATGAAAGACAGACATGGTGGTGGGCACTAAAATTCTAGTACTAGGGAGGCAGAAAAGGGCAGATCCCAGGGAAGGGGCCATTTACTGGTGAGCTAGTCTAGCCAAAATGGTAAGCTCCAGGTTCAGTGAAAGCCCCTGCCTCAGAAAATGAGTTAGAAAACATGCAAAGTAGGCCTCTAGTCTCCACAGGCACGTGCAATACAATCACATCCTTCTACATGCTTCACTTACACACACACACACACACACACACACACACACACACACACACACACACAATGAATCAAAGCATACACCTGACTAAAATCTTGTACGTTTTCTCTTTCAGAGATGCTTGGATGCATGACACTGTAGCGTCACTTTTCTGACTCTGCCCCTACTTTGTTTTCCTTTGTCTAATTTTTAAGACAGGATCCCTCTCTCTGGAGCCATCAAGACTGGCAGTATACACCACCCTGGTGGTGCACAGCAGCTATTCTGCAGACCAAGGCAAGAGGATGATGATGGGCTGCATGGACTACAGATGTGCTGAAGGCCAGCCTGGAACCCCAGTGCTGGAATTCTTATGCCCATCTAATTGTCTTTGTTATTCAGTTTGGAGAAGCAGAAACAGAGTTGGTGTTAAAAGAACACATGTAAACTTTCTATTGCACAAACCTTATGTATTAAAAACCCACATCATTAACACTAAAATTTTTAATAATTACAAAAATATAGCATGAACCATAATTCTATATAGCAAATTACAGCTGATGTTTTCTGAGACACTGGGGAAGATAATAATCTAATTCAAAATATTGAAAACTTTGAGCCAAATGTGGTAATGCTGAGCTATAACCCAACTCCTTGGGATGCTCAGAGTAAGCTTAAGGCAAGGCTGGATACTTGGTGACATACTGTCTCAAAATAAAACTTTTTTTAAATGGGTGGGAAGGTAGCCAAGTAGTACTTCCCTAGTATTTAAAGATCCTTGGCTCAATACCCAGTAACACACATAAGTGAGTACATAAATAAGTAGAGATAGAGATTAGAGGAGAGAGAGAGAAAGAAATTGAAAAACTGGAAAGCACAACTCTGAGTTGTACTCAAAAAGGAAGCCTTAACTGTCAGTGTTAGCTAGCATTTACACTAACTTGCAGTCAATACCAACAGAACTAAGTCGTAAAGTTGTTGGTTTCGTCTTTTGTTTGTTTTTTTGTTTGTTTTGGCAGTTATCGGCCCTCAGGAAAATGAACCTTATTTGAAATAAAGGATCTATTGTATAGACCTCTGGGTTTTCACTCTGAAGGGACCGAGAGTTCTTTTTGAACCTAAAAAAGTAAGGTAAGTGGCACTCAAGAGGCCTAGGTGGGAGAATCCCAAGTTTGAGCCCTGATGGGGAAACAATATGATCTCAAATCTAATTAATTAATTAAAAAAGGAAACTGAATCAGAAAACTGAAACAATTGGGATATAACAAACGGTAGCATTTACAGTTGCTATTTTACTTCCAAATTCATGAAAGATGCAAAACCTGATGGGTGGGGCCTGTCATCCCACTACTCTCGAAGCCAAGGGGAGAAGATGATGAGGAAAGGGCAGTGGAGGAATTCAGTGAGTCCTGTCTTAAAACAGCTCACTGGTAGAGCATTTTCTGGTCCTAGATTCTTCAGCTACACACACACACACACACACACACACACACACACACACACACACACACACACACACACAGAGTTGCAAAAATCATATATGGCAAAAACTATATGAAATTCAGCCTTAAGATAATAGTTGAAAAATAAGTAATATAAAAATAGGATAGAAATAGATACATTTTACAAATCAAGTTTACAAATGACTTTTGATGGGATTTTACTTTAGCAAATTCCATTTACAAGACAGACTTATCAAACACCTAATATGTTGCTAGATGGATGAATGCATGTCCCATCCCAAACCCCAGAGCACAGCAAATACTGCATACGACATAAGTGTGTATACCCTACCTTCTGCACATCAGCATCATGTTTCTGTTGCAGCTTAAGTTTTTCTTCATAAAACTTTGCTTCCATCATTTTTGTTTTCATGTCCAACTTCAAGGGAAATATTTTAAAGATTACCAGAAAGTCACTTTATAGTGGTATCCTGCTCTTACATTCAAACCCACACAGTATTTCAGTCTCTAGTATTTTCATTTCAGTAAGTCTCTTTCAACTTTTCTTCTTTGCTCACATCTGCTTATTCATTTCAAAATACTCCTATTAGCCTAGCTGTTTACATACAGCATTTTAAGAAAGAATATTCATATAAATGACTATAAACTACTATGTCTAGGCAGCTCAGTTAGTAAAGTGCTTACTTTGCAAGCATGACCTTGATCCTGAGCCCATGTTAGAAATAACACCAACAAAAACCAAACCAGGCATGGTAGTGCACACTTATCATCCCAGCTCTGGGAAAGCAGAGATAGGGGGTCCCTGAAGCTTGCTAACCAGCAGCCTAGCCTATGTGATAGGTTATAGGTCAATAAAGCAGCTTGCTCATTTCAAACAGGAATGAAAACAAAGCAAACAAATAACACTGGAAATTAAATTTTCAGGAAGTCAAATAAAAATCTCAGTGAAAATCCTGACCAATAGAATGGCTCACATGGAAAACAGAGTAGTCAGATGTAATGATAAGTCAAAGGATACAGATCATTTTTTAAGGCCAACAATAAATTTAAATATATATGAGAGAATGAAATATAGGGGCTCTTTGAGAGTGTGAGAAGACCAGATTCATGAATTATGGGCACAGAAGAGGAAAAATCCCATGTTAAAGACATAGAAAATTATTTTCAATAAGATAATGAAGAAAATTGTCCAATCTTAAGGAAAGAGATGACCATCCAGATAAAAGAGGCGTACAGAACACAGAACACAAAAAAGGTAGAACCAGATAAAGAAATTCTTCATATTACACTATAGTCAAAAACTAAAAGTTCAGAAAAAAAACGAAGTGGATTGAAAGAGGCAAGAGAAAAGGACCAAGTCACACATAAAGGCAGGCCTATGGAGCAAGAGCTGATGTTCAATGCAAATTCTAAATGATAAAAGGGCGTGAAAGCATGTTTCAAGTTCTGAAAAAAGAGCTCAACTGCCCACCAAGGTACTATATATAACAGAACTGTCACAATGTTAGGAAAAAGGAAAACTTTCCATGACTAAAGTAACCTAAAGCAGTCTATGACCACCAGGCCAACACTACAGTGGATACTGGAAGAATACTTTGAATGGAAGAGAATGATAAACAAGAAGCCATTAAAAAAAAGACTCCAAGACATTTATCATCTAAATGAGGGCTTAAAAACCAACAAACACTATAAATCAACAAAATGACAGGAATTGAATTAATACACACCTTTCAATAACAATTCTGAAGAGCAATGGATTAGACTCTCCAATTAATAAACACAGAAGAGCTAATTGTATTAGAAACCACAATTCCTCTTTTTGCTGTATCCAAGAGACATAGCTCACAAACAAAAGAAGACACTTGAGGGTGAAAGAATGGGCAAAAGTATTTTATGCCAATGGTACCAGGAAACAAGTAGATGTGGGTATTCTGATACCTGACAAACTAGATGTCAGAACAACACTACTCAAAAGAGATAATGGTCACTTCATACTGATTAAGGAAACAATCCATCAAGAGACCATTACAGTTCTAAGAATATTACACTGAACACAGATGACACAATTCCATAAAGCAAATACTATGAGATTTAAAGTCACAAATTAACACCAACACAATAATAATAAGTGATTATTCTCACTAATAGATAAGTTTTTTTTAAAAAAAAAATTTTTTGTTTGCAAAAAATAAACATCAGAGATAAATGACACCATAGGTAAACTATAGAGCATTTCACCCAAACACTACAGAATGTGCATTCTTCTAGCAGTCCACATGACTCATTCTAAAACTGATCATGTGCTGGGACACAAGCTAGTCTCAACAAACAGGAAAATTGAAATGCCTTTCTGTATTCTATCAAACAAGAAATCAACAGCAAGAGAAATTACAGAAAATACACAAACTCAAGTAGACTAAACGCCATACAACTGAATAATGACTGAGTCTGAAGAAATCAAAAGTATTTACACATTTGTAGAACTGAATGAAAATTTACAAAACATCCTAAAACCTATAAGATACAATAAAGGTAGTCCCTATAGCTCTAAGTGCTCATGTGACAAAATCAGTGGGCATCTCAAACCAGCAACTATGAAGCATCTCAAAGCATGGGAAAAAAAACAAGAACAAACCAGACCCAAACCCAGTAAACAGAAATAATTAAGATTAGGGCATAAATCAATGAAATAGAAACAAACAAAGATAACTAAAAAAATGAAGAGTTGGTGCTTTGAAAAAATAAGCAAGATTGACAAACCTTTCACCAAATCAATAATAAGCAAGAAAGAAAAGACTAAAACCTGTAAGACTAGAGATAAAAGGCAGATTATAACAGATAGTGATGAAATACAGAAAATCCTAAGAACATATCCAACATTCTATTCTACCAAATTAGAAATATAAAAGAATGAAATTCTAAATAGATAGGACCCACCAAAGTTAAACAAACAAAAGAGATAAAAATATAACCACATCCATAGCAAGCAACAAGGTTAAAATAGAAATAAAAAGCCTGCAAACTAAAGTAATAATAATAATAATAATAATAATTGTAGTGTTGGCACCAAAATAGACATATAGATTAATGGAATAGACCAGGAACTGATACAACCACAGCCATCTGATTCTCTACAGAGAGGTCAACACTGTATCCTGGAGGTTTGTGAGCTACCATTCCTAAGTAAGTTGCTTCTTCCCTTTGCCTTCCCCTCCCCCTACCTGCTCAGTTCTAGACTGCAGCCCAGGAAAGCTCTTTGTTCCTGAAACACCTGTGCTTGGTAAGTCACTTCATCTCCTTCCATGGCCCCCACCCTTGCCCATTACCTCCCCCTGCCTATGGCATTCTCTACATCCACAGACCTAGCTCCAGATCAGTGGCCCTCAAACCTGCTTACCCTCCTTTTTTCTATCACTCTTCCTTGCTGTGGGATGGTCTGTATGTCAAATTGCTCTGATTGGTCAATAAATAAAACACTGATTGGCCAGTGGCTAGGCAGGAAGTATAGGCGGGACAAGCAGGGAGAATTCTGGGAAGTGGAAGGCTGAGGTAGAGAGATGCTGTCAGCTGCTGCCATGAAAAGATGTTAAGATACTGGTAATCCGCCAGTCACGTGGCAACTTGTAGAATAATAGATATGGGTTAATTTAAGATAAGAACAGTTAGCAAGAAGCCTGCCACGGCCATACAGTTTGTAAGCAATATAAGTCTCTGTGTTTACTTGGTTGGGTCTGAGTAGCTGTGGGACTGGCAGGTGAGAGAGATTTGTCCTGACCGTGGGACAGGCAGAAAAATTCTAGCTACACTTCCTCTGCCCACTGCCATCTTGGCATCTGTAGGTCTCACTCCAGACCCATGTTTGGGAGCCATCTTTCCCTGGTCCAATTAAACAGCTCATCCACCAGCTTTACCTGGCCTAGCTCAGGTCATGCATCTCCTGCACTGGGCCAATCTAAGAAAAGCCAGATTACCACATCAGAAACACAACAAAAAAAAGAAGTCCACACGCCTTCAAATCACACACACACACAAAAAAACCCCACCTGAGTCACCAAGGTAGCATGTCTCCCATCCAACCTACCAGTCCTATAAAAGTGTTCTATAATGAGAACTACCTAGATGAACTCCAAGACACAGAATTTAAAAGAACAGTCATAAACTTTATCAAGAAATTTAAAGAAGACACAAGAAACACTTCACTAAACTATCCAAAAGGATAACAATAAACACTTCACTGATATCCAAGATTATACAGATGCACAGCTGAGTGAAATGACCAAGGTAATTCAAGATTTGAAAATTAAAATGAATAGAGATAAAAAACACTGACAATTATACAAGCTAAAATGAAGATGAAATTGAAAAACTCAGTATTCCAATTAGAAAACTCAGGTGAATCCTTATAATTAGAATGAATCAAACAAGAAAGTAGAATTCTGGAACTCAAAGATAAAGGGAAAAATCTAGACAAAATAAGCAAGAAATGTGAAAAAAATAAAGTACAAGAAAGGAACATGCAGGAAGTACAGGGCACCATCAAAAGAGCAAAAATTTGAATTAGAGGCACAGACAAACAGACAAGGGAAAGAGCCACAGGTCAATGGTACACACCAGACCTTTAACAGGATCACAGCAGCAGAAAGTGCTCCTCACCACTGCACCATCTCTCCAGCCCTCGGGAAATATTTTTATAAGAGAACAGAAAGGTAGTTTTAGCACGGAAAGGGAAAATTTTAAAGGGAAACAAAAACTACAAACTAGAATTCCAATAATTGAATAGGGAACAATAACTAGGTAAGGTTAACAGATTTTGAGATAGGAGCAAAGCATTCTGCAAATTTCATGACAGACTAAGAGAAAGACTCTAAACACCTGAGAAATGGAAAAACTGATTAAAATAATTTTTAAAAAAGCCTTTGAAGGTTAGCTAGGACTTCAGGAGGTGAATAAACACACAATTGGAGGATCTATACAAGAGAATGGGAGTGGGGGAGGAGATGAAAGAATAAGAGCACAAATGTTCCATCTGATCTTTTCAAAGAGCTGACTCAACTTAGCATGGAGGCTCATGCCTGTAACTGCAGCACTTAGGAGGCTGAGGCAGGAGAGTAACCAGTTCAAGGCCAGTCTATGCAACACAGTGAGTGCGAAGGTATTCTGGACTGCACAATGAGACACAAACTCAGAAGAAAAGACCTAACTCAAGCAAACCTCAGATTGTAAGAAAAAGCAAACAGCCAGGCAAGTCACAGATAAACTGGAAATCTTAACAGACAATGGGAGAGGAGTACTGTATACATGGGACTAAGAAGAGTGACAGCTCATTTCAATGGAGACAAACAGATGCCAGTCAAATAAGTAACATCTCAGTACTCAAAGGTTAAGAGAAGAGCCATGTGGCAAATCACCAGGAGCTCT